ATATTTTTCAATTAATGTTTTACGATCGAAGTCTTATTACTCTAGTATGTACTGATAATACAATAAACAAAATGCGCACCGCTTCAACATCCTGTATTTACCTAATGACTGAGTTAATATAAATTCGCAGGTGATGTTGAAAAATGAGTTAAAACTGAAACATTTTGCAAACATCACATTTTATTAACTGACTATTTTTCTTCAAATCAACATGTTTATAGAAATGTCTAAAAATTTATTTTTAACTAGTACATATTGACTTGAGCTAAATATAACGAAACAAACGGTATTTAACAGTCCAGAAACAATAGAACAATTTTGTTTTAATAACACAAAAGAATTTTAAACGTTCGTTATATTGATTCAGCGAAAATAGTTTTCAATGTATTTTGCTTTCACATCCTGATTTCAATTTGTGAAATATATTTTTTTTCTGTGCATACGACTCCTATATGGAATTTTGTATTCAAAGGTGATTGTGTATTTATGTAGTGGGAAAATTAACTGGAGCAGCACATTTAGGTGATGAAAAGAAAAAATATTAAATATACCTCTTATCTTCTTTTTAACGTTTTACATGTGTCGTGATATTATAAACTGACTTTTTCTCTATCTTCTAGCATTCTTACACATACCGGCATTGAAGCGCTGATGGTTACTGTTGTCGGTGTCTTTTATCTTCTACGTTTCTTAATCTTCCTTGATATGTTAATGTTAGGTTCATTCTATTTATATTTTTGCTACACATTAATCTTCATTTAGTAAGTTAGTGCTGCTTGTTTGATTTTTCTCTTTCTACTGTCCGTTTCATTCATGACTATTGATGAATCTTTCCATTGCACTCTAAAATTCATTATCGCAGGCATATTTCTATATCTGGGATCTGTCTCAAATAATAAAATGTTACTTGGTCTATCTATCTATAGCCCACAATCTATTCATGTGTTGAATATAGGCCTCTCCCATTTGTCTCTGTCTTCTGTTTGTCTTTTCCACATTGGACCTGCGCTTTGCTCAATGTCATCTTTCCATCTTATTTGCGGTCGACCTCTTGACCTTTTTGCAGTATATGGTCTCCAGCGGCCAATTTCTTTATTCCATCTTCCATCCTGATATATTTCATTATGCCCAGCCCATTTCTATTTTAATTTCAATGGATGTTCGACAGTGTCTGTTGTTTCGGTTTTGCATCTAATCCACTCGTTCCTCTTTTTATCTCTCAACGATATTCTCAAAATTTGTCTTTCCATAGCTCTTTGAGTTTTCTTTATTCTATCTAAGTTGCTCTTGGTACACGTCCACGTCTGGGCACCATATGTCAGAACAGGTAGGACGCATGCATTAAATACCTTCGTTCTTAATTTTAAAGGTATTTTTTGGTTTTTGATAGTATATGAGAGTTTTCCGAATACAGCCCACCCCATTCTTATTCTTCTGGTTATTTCTTTACTCTGGTTACTTTTGTCTGCTCTGATAGCTTGTCCTAAGTAAATATATTCTTGGACGTGGTCTGTCTATTCCACCGATGGTAATTACTGATCTGTCTTCTGTATTAGTCATTATTTTAGTTTTCTTTAGATTCATTTTTAGTCCTTTCCCAAGAGATGTTTTTTCTAGGTCTGAAATCATTATTCGTAGTTGTTCCATAGTTGTTGCTATCAGGAGTACATCCTCGGCGAATCTTAGATGATTTAAATATTTCCCGTTTATACAAATCCCTTTATTGTCCCAGTCTATAGATTTAAAAATGTCTTCCAACGCCAGAGTAAATAGTTTGGGTGAGATTGTATCCCCTTGTCTGACACATCTACAAATTCTAATTAATGGAGTTTGCAAATCTCTGTCTAGCTGAATTCTCATAGTGGCATTTTGATATATATTGTGGATTAACATTCTGTACCGTGAATCTATTCGGCAATTAACTAGCGCTTCTTCCACTGCCCATAGTTCTATGCTGTCAAACGCTTTTTCATAGTCAACAAACGCTAGGTATATTGGAAGGTTGTATTCGTTGGTCTCTTCTATCAATATTTTAAGAGTGTGAAGGTGGTCAGTTGTGCTGTACCCCTTCCTAAATCCTGCCTGCGCAACTGGTTGGTATGCATCAAATTTGTTGTTTAGTCTAGTTGTGATCACCTTAGTGAAAGTTTTATAGATTTGTGACAAAAGAGATATAGTTATCTAATTAGTTAGTTAATTTTGATCTGTTTCCTTTCTTATATATCAGAATTGTATTTGCCTTGTTCCACTCTTGCGGTATTTGTCCTTCAAACAAACATTTATTGAAAAGTATCTTTAGGTAGTCTTTTATCTTTTCCCCTCCTTCTTTTAACATTTCAATTAGAATTGCATCGCCTCCCGGAGCCTTATTTCTTTTCATATCTGTAACTGCTTTTTCTATTTCTTCTCCGGTTATGGGGGGTAATATTTCAGAGTTTACCTTCATTATTTTCTTTTTCAGGTTTTGTTGAGTTGTATCAGGTCGACTGTTTTTAGAGCTGTAGAGGTCACTATAATATTCATTTGTTATCTTAGATATTTGAGTTCTGCTTTTTTTCTATTACAGGTTGTTCATTTTCCATCTCTATGATTTTATTTCTTCCTAGGTGGGACGTGATAGATCTTAAGTTTCTATTTTCTTCTATAATCTTCTCGATTCGTTCTTCTTGATGCCCTTTGAGATCTTGTTTTATATGTCTTCTTATTTCTGCATTAAGGGTTTTGTATTCAGTTGTATTTCTTTTATTTTCTTGTAGTAGGCTTCTCCGTTGTTGTAGCATGTCTAAAGATATGGCACTTAGTTTTGATTTTTTGTCTGATTTTGCTGGTGCTACTTCTAAGCTAGTCTTTAGAAGTTCTTCAGTGATGGCTTTGTTTAGTTGATCTAGATTTAGCTCTGTTAGCTTTAGTTCTTCAGTTGTTCTTAATTTGTTTTGGTATTGTTCTTTTTCTTCTTTAATTTTTCTGGGTGGACTTTTTTCTTAAAGTGTATATATTGTCTTCGATCTTTTCTGTGTTTAATATTTATTTTAGCCCGTATCATTCTGTGATCACTACCAGTAGAGATTGAGTTTATTACTGTGACGTCTTCGAAAATGTTCTTTTTGTTTGTTAGTATGTCGTCAATTTCATTTTTAGTGTTCCCATTTGGCGACATCCACGTCCATTTCATATGTAGCTATTTCTTTAAGAAAGAGTTTATGGCAAATAATTTGTTGTTTTCTAGATAGTTAACCAATAGATCTCCTCTTTCATTTCTTACTCCATGTCCAAATTCTCCAATACAGTTTTCGTTTTCTTCTAGTTTTTTGCCCATTTTCGCATTAAAATTGCCCATTATAATCGTGTATGTAGTGTTTCGATATGTCATGGACTCTGTGAGGTGTTTATAGAATTCTTCCATTTCTTCGTCTGTGTGTGTGTAGATGTTGGCGCATAAATCTGAATTATTTTTAAAGTGACCTTTTCGCTGATATTTATAATTAATAAAGCGATTGTTTCTGTTATTCCTAAGTATTCCTCAATTTTATGAGCATATTTTTTCTAAATCAAAAAACCAACTCCATCTAAACTTTCGTTTTCTGTACCTTGAAAATACAATATGTTTCCAGACTCTAGCGAGATGCAGTTTTCACCTTTTCTTTTTACCTCCGATAGTCCGATTATGTCCCATTGCAGGTGTTTAACTTCTTCATCTAATTCATAGAGATTCTCGTCTTTAGACAAAGATCTTACATTGAAAGTTGAAATATACATTTTTGTTGTCTGTATTGACGAACTATTGCCTCCCCCAGATCCGATGAGACTGACATTAGATAAGGTGTAGGATTTGCCACAATGTGAACCACCTACCTGGGGACCAGTTCCGTTCGGGTTTGTATTCGCGTTTGTATTTGAGAAGGGAGGTGTTAACCATAAAACACCACGCTGATCAGACGGGTTGGTGAGTGTATATTCATCCGCGCACTCTGGGTCAGACGCTGTTCGTAGCCGTCCACTCTGGATCAGACGCTACTGATTTTATATTAACCCTAAAATCAGGGGGTGCCACTTCCGCCATCATCGCCGTACCGAAGATATCCTTCTCCGCCTTGAATGCCGTTGTGGTCTTCATCCGTGACCCTGGACAAGGGACCCTGAGCAGGTACTAGCTTCCCGGGTCAAGAAACACCTGGAATCTGTGGAGGGCTGGAAATGATTCATTCTCCCGGATAGGACTGTCTAAGGAGTTTCTACCCACTACCCATTGTTACCCATGTTACTTGGTAATCATTGAAAATGATCAAACTTTGGTGCAAAACTTATAGACTATTGGACGTTATTGGATGGGTTTCAGAGGTGTGATCATCTTACGGTAGTGCTCTCGTGGAGAAAACTTATAGAAAATGCAGGATACGGGTTGCCAGAAAAACATAGTGAAGAGGATTCTGACCTAGTGATTAATAAAACAGGTTTAAGTTTGTGAAGATGCAAATGATAGTTACTTAACAGAATGGATGAAGCAAGATACTGGAGAAATAATTATTTTTGAGAAGGAATTTGTTGAAGTTTTAAAAGTAAACGAAGAGAAGGAAGAAAGTATTAGTGATTATGATGAAGAAAAGATAAGTAAGAATGATGAACCAAAATGTCACAGCGAGTGACTTAAGACTATTAAAAGTGTTTTAACATAATATATGTTGAGCAGTGAGCTGCTTCAGCAATGGACATCCTGGTTCTCAGTTATCTGCGCGACGATGTCCCTCGCAAAAGGGCCAAATGTAAAAATAAACATTAATAACCATTTTTTATTTCTTTTTCAAAGAAATAAATTAAAAACATAAATAAAATAAAGAGCAATTTTTGTACAAATGAGAACATTTTTGATATCCTGTCTTATACAAATAAGGTGTGTTTTTACATAATTTATATATCTAATATTTTTTCTCTTTTTAGATGAATGTGGCCAAAGCGGAGGAGAGGCCGATAGTGACGAGGACGTCATCACCGACTACCACATCCCGGTGTTGGATATGTTGCCTCGACCTGGAGCCGGTGGGCCTCTTCCTACCATCAGCGTTACGCCGCATTCACCTGCCAACAAGACATATCCGGTGCTAGAGGACAGCTTGCAACAAGTTCGAGAACTCCACGAGAGTGTACAGCATATGCGCAATGTCTCCGTACAAAGTAAACGTAAGTTTAATTTATTTCTAATTGGATATGTTAATCGTCCTCTATTTCATATCATTATATAAAAATACTATTACCAAACTTCATTTTTTATGAAGCAAGTTATTAGTTTTTTTTAGATGTTTATTCAATTTTCTATCAAATTATTTCCCTAACAAGGGAAATTAAAAAGAAAGGGATAAATACTATAAATTAAATAAGAAAATAACGAGATTAAGAGAAAAACTTTTTTTTAATATCTAAACGTTAAATATTTAACTTCTACAAAAAAGTTCTAACAAGCTTCCATGGCTAACTGGAAACAGTTTCGTTGTGAATATATCTCTACAGTGATGAGTGCTTTACCACCCGACTTTTTAACGTAAGAGATAGAAAACACAGTTACCTTGTGAAATAAAAAGAGATGAAACTCGTAGAGGTGGGAAATAATCGATAGAAACCTATAATTTACATTACATTGCATTACCACCATCGATAGTCTCACACCTTTAGACGTTAGACGTGGCTATTTGACTTCAGTCATAATTATACGGATAACCTCAAAAATATTTTATTTTAATAATTTCTGATGTTAGAATAAATACTTGAATAAATTAAGATATATTATAGTAAAAAACATTCATTAGTAGCGATTTTTAATTATAAATCTTTGTTTATTTAATAATAAAAATAACTCAACTGAAATATTTGACTAAAATAAAGGTAGGTATGTTCTGTCCGAAAACAATTAATATATCTGGAATTGGTGTAGTAGTTAGGGACGTTGTCTATTAACGAGAAAATTGGGGTTCAATTCACACCCCATAAATTTTTGTTTTATCAATAAAAAAATAATAGAAAATATGATACATATTAGGTAACAAATTTTTGAAAAACTCATTATTTACAATTTATTTTTATTCCAATGTTATAAAACGGAAATACAAAATAATTCAAATTCAATTCATACAGTCTTCAGTTGTGAATGCAAAATAATCCAGTAATGACTGTTTATATCAAATCCATCGCTAAATTCTCAATGTTAATATCAATTCAATTCAAATTAGACAAGGCGACAGTTTAAGCCCCTTCTTGTTTAATCTTCTCATGGGCAAAATTATCAACAAAGTAACATCTCTTAATCTCGGATATAGAATGGGCAACAAAAGAATTGGTATGGTATGTTACGCAGACGATGCAGCAATTATTGCCGAATCAGAAGATGATCTCCAAAGGCAGCTCTTTCAGTTCTTTCAAACAAGCCGACTACTAAATATGAACATTCTACCAACAAAACTAAATGTATGACAATAGCAAAAGATCCGCTCAGATGTAAGTTAGTGGTTGAGGACAACCCCATAGAACAGGATATGCAATTCAGATATCTGGGCATAGATATATTAAGCACCCACGACCCAGTAAAGGACCTGAGGAGTCAGATCAACAAAGCATCTGCACTGTCAGGATGTCTGCGGGAGATACTCTGGTCAAATCCGTATATGCGCACAGATAGTAAAATTAGAATCTATAAGACTTGCATACGACCGATCATGACATATGGCATAGAAGTGCGCGAAGATACCAACAAAACGAAACAGATGCTAAGGGTTGCCGAAATGAAAACCCTAAGAACAATAATGGGGAAAACAAGAAGAGACAGAGTGAGAAATACAAACATTAGAGCAGTGCAAAATTCAAGATATTGTAAGATGGGGAAGGCAGCGCAAGAGGATGTGGTACAACCATGTAAGACGACTGGATGAGAATAGACTCCCAAAAATTGCCCTAGAAAACAATCCGCCCGGTTCAAGACCCCCCGGAAGACCACCTAAAAGATGGAGGGATAGTTGGCAATCTACCTCCCAAGAAATTAACCAGAGGCAGCTTCAGAATTAAACAGATCGAAAGATCTACAAAAAGTAGAAGAATATCAATTCCTCTGTACAGGTAATGATTTTCAAAACAATTGACAATTGTAAATACGTTTATTTACAATATTTTTTTATTTTTGTAGAATTTTTACTTATTTAAACATTCTTTAAACGTTCTTTAAATTTTGAGGAATTTTTAACTTAGTTTCGAAAGTACGACGGACACTTTTTTCAATGAGATATTTATGTTTAACTTTAAACACTTCTTATACTAGTAACGACTGACATAAATGTTCAAAAGCAAAACGATCTCTGCATAATTTCAAATTATTAAACAAAAAACACATGTAGGTTTTGAACTCTAATCGTCTGCACCGCAGTGTCGAATTCTTACCACTAATCCACGATGGATTGATAATTATTCCGTGACAAGAGCAGAGAACTAATGACCACAGTTAGAAACCTGTGTTCGTAGTTCTCTGACAAGAGTATTAAACTCCTAAAATCGTAGTAGAAATTATTTTTGGTTAATAATTTAAAACTTTAGATTAAATTTAAATAAAAATTTAGAATAATTAAATTATTTTATTCACATTTTTGTTTTATTGTGGTCAGTTTTTACTTTATGCGAAATTAAAAAATGGAAATACGTCACACATACGACGTCAAACATAATAATTATGACCGAGGTGATTTAGCTCGAAGCTAACGTCTAAAGGTGTGAGACTATCGATATTGGTAATATAATGAAATGTAAATTATAGGTTTCTATCGATTATTTCCCACCTCTACGAGTTTCATCTCTTTTTATTTCACAAGGTAACTGTGTTTTCTATCTATTACGTTAAAAAGCCGGGTGGTAAGACACTCAACACTGTATATTAGAATAACACGTTAGATACAAAGTAATTTTTACAAAACTATATATGCTCAATTTTATTGTTTTAAAAGTGTCGAATGTGGACATAAAATTATTTTATTGCGTATTTACCACATGGATCGTATGGAACAGTAAATTGTTATTTCGATGTTTGTGGGATTTTTACAAGCGATACCTGCACATAACAAAATGTGTCAATTGGATAATGATAAAATTCTGGATTGAACTTGGTTATCAAACAAAATTTTTTTTTCTCCTTAAAAGAACAAATTTATTAAGTAATTTTCTTGTACAATAAAAATAATTAGTTATATTTACATACCTTAAAAGAAAATTGATTTTTATAAGTCTTTTCTTTTATAAACAAATTTTGATAAACAACACTTAACAACAACAAAAAATATTAAATTAAAAAATATTAAATTAGATTTTAAAAACAAAAGACAAAAAGACAAAAAAAAATTTACACAGTGAATAAAATACATAAATCAGGATAATCGTTATTTTAATTTTATATATTAATACTTTATCACTTTGTAATATAACCCTTGTAGTCGATGAAAAGCTGGATTCTCTTTGGCATGGATTGAGCAAGGTTCAAGAAATATTATGGTCACCCACAACCTCTTTAACTCCTCTTTCAGCTTATTTATGTTGCTCGGTCGACACTCTTAAACTTTATTTTTTGTTATATTCCAAGCGTTCTCGATGAGATTAAGGTCGGGAGAGTTATCTGACCATTCCAATACGTTGATGTTGTGATCATTCAAAAACTTAGACACTGTATTGGCCTTGTGAATAGGTGTACCAATTCGTGAATTTCCCAAAAGTTCATCACATAGTTACTTGTCCTCATTGTAACATTATTTTACAAAAAATACAACCGTGCCCTTCCTTTATTTCCACTAAACGCACTCCATACCTCGTATCGTACCGTACTCGGATCGTACCTTGACGCGATTTGTAGACGACGAACAAATTTGGAGCTTTCTCTTACTAACCTGAACGTACTTTCATCACTGAACATGACTTTTTTCCATTGTTTAGGTGTTCAATGCTGATACCTTTTACAAAAATCTAATCTTTTTTCTTCATTGCTTTTGAAGCAAGGGCTTCTTTGCAGCACGTCGACTTGGTAATGCTAGATCTTTCTGAAACCGATGACGAATCGTTCTTGTTAAAACGTCCTGAAGGTGATCAGTATGTTTATTTTTGACTTCTGTGACATCTATGAAACGGTTCAACATTACTTCACGCCTAATGATGGTGTCAGTCCTAGATGATATTTTTTTAGGAGCTCCAGAACCAGGTTTTCTTTCCGGAACAGTTCCTGAAGGCAACGACTCAGCCGACCGGTTCAGTTGATAAATTACCTCTCTTGAAAAACCAATATTACTTGCTACAATAATTACAGAGTCTCCGTTCTCAACTTTCTCCTGTTGTGTGTAGTTGTTTAATAGTTTTTCAAAGTATTCGTCCCATTCACATAGGCTAATAGGAGAGATGGATATCTTTAGTCTTTTCTGTTCAAAGAGACCAAAGTACTTTCCAGCTTTCGGTACTTCTGATACCTCCCAGGTAAGTGTTAATCCTGGAGCATTTTGTCTCCCAGCATTCGTTTTTCTTTTTTGTTTATTGCCTTTCGTTCCTCTCTTTAAACTGTTTGATATTCCTGTATACTTTGATCCTTTTTTTACGTTCAGAAATGTGTTGTATCTATCACGTTTGTGTTTTATTTTCTCTTCGATTTCTTCATCCCACCAATTAGACTTTCTTTGTGCTGTTTTTTATACTTGTCCAACAGTTCTTCTGCTGTACCCTTTAAACATTCTTTTATATAAATCAATATAAGGTTGAATGTTCGAATAATTAAACTTTGATGGTATACAAGGCAAATATCGAACACAGTAATTAAATCTTGCCCAAGTACTTTCGATCAGTAGATCATCCTCAGGGGCATTTCGTCAGTTGTGGCCTATCCAACATGAGCAGAATGTCATTGTAAATTTGTCTTTGTGTATTGTATTGTTATGTCCAAATTTACATGTATGACATTCTGCTCATGTCGGATAGGCCACAACTGACGAAATGCCTCTGAGGATGATCTATTGATCGAAAGTACTTGGGCAAGATTTAATTAATTACTGTGTTCGATATTTGCCTTGTATACCATCAAAATTCTTTTATATAGTTGTATTATTCCTCTACCCTATCAAAGTTTTCGCATATGAGTTTTTCATCCAGTCGTTTTTTGTACAGTATTTTTGAGCTCTCGTTATTAAAGGTTTCCAAGTTTGCAAGTTTCCAAGTCTTTTTTCTTGGCTAGTCGAAGGGAAATTATTTTATCTTTGACTAAGTAGTAATCACTTCCACATGTGCTTTCTCTATATACTCGAACATCTTGTACCTTGGGCTTTGTATTTGGTATGGTGGTATAATCGGCGGGGAATGTCTTCCCCGAATTGACCAACTAGATTATTAAACATATTATAAAAGTTCGACTTATGCCCTTTCTCCTTAAATATATTTTATCGCAAAATCAGTTCGGCTTTTTGTCTGATAAATGCACTAGTGATGCCATATTTTCTGTGTTACATGATGTATATCTATCACTAAACAGTAACCTCTCCTCCGCCACCGTTTTCTGCGACTATTCCAAAGCCTTTGACTGCGTAAATCACGACATTCTATTAAAAAAATTAACTTTCTATGGAATTCGGGGTGTGTCTTTGAACTGGTTCAAAACTTACTTGGTAGGTAGGAAACAATTGGTTAGAATAAATGACACCGACTCTAGTTGTAAAGATATTGAGTGTGGAGTACCGCAAGGTTCAGTATTAGGTCCCATTCTTTTTTTACTTTTCATTAATGACATCACTTACTTGAAAATTAAAGGGAAAATTTTTCTATTTGCTGATGATACCAGTATTACTTGGAGCAGCTCTGATATTTCAACGCTTCATTCAATCATAACCGATGATTTACTTATAATCAAGGCTTGGTCAGACTCCAACTTACTTAGCTTTAACGTGGATAAGACTGTAGCATTATCTTATAAAGGAGTCATGCAACCCTTGCTTTTGAATGAGAGCCAAATCAATATCGTAAATTCCGTGAAATTTCTAGGTATTCTCATTGAGAGTGATCTCAAATGGTCCTTGCATACTGACTCCTTAAGGAAGAAACTAGCCTCAGCTTGCTTTGCAATAAGATCTGTTTCGAAGGAACTAAATTTATCTTCTGCCAAAATGGCATATTTCTCATTGTTCGAGTCCCATCTTCGATATGGGCTTCCATTTTGGGGTTCTAGTACAGCGGCCCAATTTGATACTATTTTTAAGTTGCAAAAAAGAGCGATCCGTTATCTATTTGGTCTCAAACAAACAACTCATTGCAAGACCTACTTCAAAAATCACGGAATTTTGACGCTTCCCTCTTTATTTATTTTGGAAACGGTTTGTTTGATTCTAAAGCATCTAAACATTTTTCCCGATAGACCTGACCATGGCTACTCCATTAGAAATTCGGATTGTAACGTTTATTTGCCGATCCCGTCCACTCAACTAGTAAAGAATTCTATTCTATATCCTGCAAAGAAACTTTATAATCACCTTCCAAGAGAAATTAAATCCGCAACATCCTTCATTAAGTTTCGTAAGGTGACAAAAATCTATCTCTCAGAAAGACCATATTATTCAGTTGACGAGTTTCTTAATGTACAACAAAGAAACAAAATTAGTATTGTTTATAATTACATTGGGTGTCTCAAGCAGTGGCTACAATTTGTCTCATTTGTTGTTGTCTGTACAAATTATGTAGGTTATACAATAATTTTACTAATTTATAATTTTGTGTTATTCTGTTTTTTACTATATTGTTTTTGTTTTATACTTTTTGTATTATTTGACTGATTTATTTTTTAGCTTTGTCCATAAAATTGTTCAATAATTTTCAGTGACAATAAAGCATATTTCTATTCTATTCTATATTATCTTTATACTTTATACTTTTCCTGTACGAGCATTTGGATCTCCTACCAGAATATAAGTAAGCATGTGACAAATATAATACTGTAAATCTTGTAAAAATGGATTGTACATGTTTTACGATGTATTGATGTCTTGAAAATCTCCACATATCCCAATACCACGTTTCGTTTTTTGATACTACCATAACGGGACTGGCTGTATCGACATGTTTACCTGACAATAATATCCGTAGTATAGTACATCATGTTAGATGAGGCCTAGGAATTTCTAAATCACCTCTCTTTCCTTTTTAGAAGGGGCATTGAAAACAAAAATGTCTAAAACCGAAATGTTGATAATCTTGTAGTTAGTGAAAATATATGCGTAAGAACAAGTTCCATAGACTAGATAATGGCATATAATCACGAGATTCTCGGAAAAAATAATCAAATCGTCCGAGCATCTCCGTCGTAGAAGACTTGGGCAGCCTTCGGAAATTTGAAGCATATTTTCAAATCATCCGACTTCCTAATATTTACCATATTGTGTCAATGTCATTGGCGTATGCTAAGATTTGTATCGAAGGTGCGGTTGCTTACTTCTTAATTTTCCAGCGCCAACCAAGTACCAAAGATTATAACCTATATACATTGAATGTCTCCTTCCAAATGTCCCACGTCAAAATGTCCATCCCTAGCCGTATTCTTAATTTGCTAGTTACTATTGAAAACATGAACGATTTTTAAACCAAGGACGGATTCCTCCGGGTACCATGTTTCACCGACCTTCTCCCGGTACGTGACGTAAAAAACAGACCTTGGTGACCTTACTTTCAAACCTTTCAAGAGAACCAAGACGTTCTCTTGGTATATGGCGTAAAAAATATGACTTTGGTGAACTTACTTTGACATTCTAGCTTGAGCTCTCCAATTAATGAAGCTAATGTATAGCGTAACATGTTGAAGGATCGAATATAAACAGTGGAAATTATAAGCACTATTTTTGTTATATATTTATATATTCTGGTGTATTACATGTTACGTTTTTCAGATGCTTACGGTCCGAATTCCAGAGACTTTGCTGCATTTGCGCTCAATCCATTTCTGGCTCAAGTTGCTCGACTAAGTGCAAGTTGTCCTGCTCTAAACGAAGCCATTCCGGATGTTGATATAATCGGCGGCTCGCTGGGATCTTCTCCTTTACATCAACCACCGAGTAGGAAGGGAAGCGGTAGGTATTTTTTAAGGGAAAAATATTACATAAACAAATACAAATATTATTGTTGCAGGCGCTCAAGATTGGCTATGTCAACCTGAACCTCAGAGAAGACGATCATGGACAGCACTGGAAGACCTGACTGGGAACAAAGACAAAGTCAAGCAAACTCGCCAAAGAAGGTAAATAAACTATTTTTTCTTTTTTCTTCAACTCCGTTATTATAGTAGAATGCTATCCAAAATAGACTATCGGTATCTTCGATTTCATCGTTAGGTGCCTTGCTAATATTTTGGTTGGGGGTGAAATGTTTACAAAATGACGTATAGTTATGTTTTTGTATCATAACTTTTTATTTGTAGTTCACAGCACGAGCACACACATAACATACATCATCTTTGGTGCTTAAATTATCGAAACTATTAAACAATTTTAGCAAAAACTCTATAGAAAAAAAAAATAAAAAATATTTAACTGAGATCGGTTATAGTCCATATATTTTGGACGAAATAACATATTGCTAATGCTAGGCATCTAAGAATCAAAAGCTGCGGTAGCCACTAGAATGCGCCTGTTGCATCAAGCCCGTTGGCTGCCCACAGCCAAAGCAAGTGGGCATTCTGAAGTGAAATCAATATGACTGCCTTCAGTCTCCGCGCACTTGTTGGGTCGACAAGACCTATACCCTACGTTTTTCAAATGACTTTTGACTTTAAAATGCCGAAAAATAAATTCGACAAGTTAAAACCCGGAAGACGATTTGGGATATATCTTCTGACGAATACAGTGATCGAGAAGTGAAAAACAATTGTAATGACACTCTAGTATTGTTAAAAAAATGGCTCTAGGAATCTAAGAACATCCTTAAAATAGATTTGAAATAAGCCTTTTCAGTGACGTTTGAAAGAAGTGAATGAATCCAATGCCTTTGAGATAAACAATAAATAATTATAACGTCTTCCACGTCAAGGAAGATATCCACTTATTGTACACAAGAGAAATACCTCTACGAATAATCAAAACGATCGAAAATATCTACCAAAACAACACAATAAAAGTACAAGTAGAAAAAGAGCTAACCGACCCTATTAAAGCTGGCAATGAGATAAGACAGGGAGATTCCCTGCGTCCTCTATTGTTAAAGCTGATTATAGATGTAATAATAAAAAAAGTAAGAACTAAAAAAATATACCAAATGGGTGAAAAACAACTTAAAATAATCTGCTATGCAGACGACGCAATACTACTCTCTGAAATTGAAGATGATTTACAACGTATGCTGCACCAATTTAATACAACCGCCAGAAAATTTAACATGTTGTTTTCCCTAATAAGATAATTTACAACAGTAAATTTACCAAGATGTAAATTGGAGCTGGAAGGTCAGATAATAGAACAAGTAATGGAGTTTAAGTATCTAGGCATCACATTATCTAGCTACGGAAAGCTCTAAACTGAAGTGGAAGACAAGCGAATAGAGCAAACAGAGCCGTAGGGCTGCCTGAATGAAACAATATAGAGAAATAAAAATATAGGGAAAAAATAAACGGCAGAATTTACAAAACAGTCATCAGACCAATAATTACATACGCGGTAGAGACACGACCTGACACATAGTGGACAAAAAGGATGTTAGAAACTGCAGAGATAAAAACGCTAAGAAAAGGTGATGGCAAGACACTATGCGATAGAGCTAAAAGTACAGAATACGACGTAGATGCAAGGTGGAGAACATTAAGAACTGGGTAAAGTAAAGACGGCAAGAGACGGTTCTCCAATAGGAAGACGATCAGTAGGAAGACACAATAACAATGGAACGACAACTTACTGGAGACACATTAAAAAAAAAGAAGATTTTCCACGTCCATATCCCTTGAAGTAACGGACATAACTGGCCGTCGATTGCTTGCTATAACTGACTGCTCATGTATGTCAGCCGCCTCAGCCTGGCTGCGGCAACTAGACCGCATAGTGCGCGGGAGCCCTTAGTGTGCCGTTATGGCCGCGTGATGTTGTCAGTTTCGTGTTAAAGTTAACCCCAATAGTTTGACCCCAATAGCGAGTCTCTATTTTGGTCAAACAGCTAAAGTGAAAATAGGATCTACATTGACCAATAAAATTGAGATCAAGAAAGGGGTACGACAGGGCTGTATCTTGTCTCCAATTCTCTTTAATATATACTCAGAAGAAGTATTTAAGACAGCGCTGGAGTAAAGCACAGAAGGCATAAAGATAAATGGAGAAATAATTAATAACATAAGGTATGCTGATGACACTGTGATTCTAGCAAGTAGCATGGAGGAACTGGGTTGCCTAATGAGTAAGATACAAAAAACAAGTGCACAATACGGACTCAGACTAAATATCACAAAAACCAAATGGATGTTAGTAAGCAAAACCCAAAAACCACCAAAGCAACTGATATTAGACAATGAAAGAATTGAACACGTGGATTCGTACATCTACTTGGGAACAACAGTTAACTCAAATTGGGATCAAGCGAAGAAAATACGTATAAGAGTAGAAAAGGCAAAAGCATCGTTCACTAGCATGAAGCAAATTTTTACCTCTAAAACCTTCACCCTACCTCTCAAAATTCGACTTCTGAAAAGTTATGTATTCCCGGTTTTGTTATATGGAATGTAGGCGTGGAAAATGACCGCAACATTGATGAAAAAAGTAGAGGCCTTGGAAATGTGGGCTTACCGACGTATATTACGTATATCCTGGACTGAGCACGTGACCAACGAGGAGGTACTACGCCGGATAGGTAAAGAGAGAGAGGTAGGAATAAGTATAAAGAAAAGAAAGTTGGAATACTTGAGTCACGTTATGAGACATAATAAATATAGAGTACTACAGCTCATCGTTCAAGGGAAAATAGACAGCAGAAGGGGTCCAGGGAGGAGAAGACATTCGTGGCTCCACAACTTGCGGCAATGGTTCGGATTGTAGATCTGCCGTAAACAAAGTCAGAATAGCCATGTTGATTGCCAACGTTCGGAACGGACAATGCACATGAAGAAGAAAGTGTTAAAGTTAGCCAAATTAAAAATAACCTGCATATGTTATTTTGTACATATATATTATTTTGCATTTATTTCCCCTACTTGATATTGTTTAGGTAAAGACAATGAAATCGATTTCACGTAGTATCAAATTCACGTTTACTCGACACACGAAATAAACAAGGATTGCCTACAAAACTACAACAAGCTGTTGCCCTATACTAAAATCTATAATCTGTAACTACATATTTATAATCTGTAACATTTGTATTGAACTTTCAGTATATCTTTGAGCAGTATGGAGTCAGAGGCCGACGAATCATCTTTAATAGACAACGTAGATGGCAGTACAGTTAGATTATTAGGCCCTGAAGCTCCCGTTGTTATCAGACATCGTGGATCGAGAAGTACAAATGGAGGAGCCAGTACTCATTCTCTTAATGAAGCGGATCTTCAGGTAAGTCTTTATCTACCCCATGCAATTCAAACTTACTAAGTAAAAGGATGCCATGTTTTTAAAATGGCTGTGACTAACTTAGATCTGATTCGACGTGTTTTTTAGCTGGTCTATAATACGAAACTAACTAATGTTGGTATTTTATTACTTGACGAGCAAATTAGTATAGAAAAATCGAAAAATCTATCCATAGATGGATTTACGAGGTTTTTCTTTTTAATTTTGCATATAGCCGCTTAGAAGGTGCCACCAATAAAACCTTCTGACGCAGATGTAACCTCAATCTTTTGTTGACATAAATCGAGAGTTTCATTGCGGTACAACAAGTCGTGTAGATACAGTGAATTTTGGAAAATGGCAAGTCGGTCGAAAAATGGATCTTAACCGAGAATATTTTCATGCAATAATTTTTTACAATTTTCGGAGAGATGGTTTCTGTGCTTGGGAATGAAGCATCACAACAGTCAACTATTTTCCACTGGTATTGGGAATTTCAACGTAGTCGCTCCAGTATCAGCGACGAATCCAGGCCAGGTTCACCCACAGCAGCAGTCACACATCAAAACATTGATGCGGTTCGTCAGCTAATTAAGGATGACCGCCTTGTAACATACCGGGTGATAGAGGCATCTTTGGTCATTTTAAAGACCTCGATCCAAAAGATCCTACATGAAGAACTGGATGTTACGAAGTTGGTTTTCCGTTGGATCCCTTATTTGCTCATAGAAGAACAACAAGCGGTTCGCGTCAATTGGTGTCTAAAAACATTGGAACAGTTTAACAAATGAAGCTAAAAAATGTTTATAGTATTGTCAGTGGCGATGGATTTAATCCCGCGAACCGGAAAGTATACGCCAATCCGCTGTGTAGGTATTTCGAGATGAGGAAAAACCAACAAAAGTCATCCGTTCTCGAAGTGTGTCAAAGAAAATGCTCGAAAATTTTGTATCAAAATCTGGTAATGTAGCATCTGGTAATGTAAAAGATCAAAGAACGGATACTTGGTATTGGATAGATTGGTATATAACCGTTTGTTTACCATAAGTTATCGCGAAACTCCGACAAAGCAACACACATCGACGAATCATCCTACATCAGGACAATCCAAGTGCTCACATTGCCCAAAATACAATAGGAGTTTTTGGAGCTTCAAAACTCTCTCTCTTCAATCCTGACCCCCCAGGGGGAGTGTAGTGGTCGACGTGATGTCGTGTATTGTCCGTCTCCAGAGATCTCTGTCTCTGGTCATTTCTTTTAATTTATGCATAGCTCTTTGGCATATTCCTGTAATTTGATCTATCCATCTTGTTGGGGATCTTCCTCGTGATCTTCGGCCTTCTACCTTTCCTTGTATTATAAGTCTTTCCATGTTTTCTGTGTTTGCTCTCATAACATGCCCAAAATATTTTAATTGTTGGAGATGGACTTTACTAGAGAGTCGTTGGCTAACTTTTAGCTCTCTTAAAATTGAATTATTTGTTCTACGGTCGGTCCAAGGAATTCGTAACATTCGTCTCCAACAGAACATTTCAGTGGCGTCTAAGCGTCAGCTTCAAAACATCGAATTGTTAAACTACCCACCTAAATCCTAACAACTTATTCATGATCCCAAATATTAATAATTCAATGCATGGGCAGCGATTCCAGTCGCCGAAAGAAGCCATCGATGCCTTTAAAACAGCGATTTTGCAAGTGTCAACTGAAGACTGAAATAACTGTTTTACCAATTGAGGAGTTTGCTGTGAGAAGGATGCAGCTCATATTTAAACCGTTTAAGGTGGAAACATATGCCATAATTGGATTGACTGGTATAAGAATGATGCAGATCCCATAATAAATAAAGGCATTATACGTCTTTATGGAGCTGCCTTCTCACTCATTTGGTGCAAGAAGTTGCAGCTCCGGACCTGCATCCTTTTTACAGCAAACGATTGTGAATGTTCGGTGATTTTCATGGAATGCAAGGTCATCATCTTCTGTTGGCGCTGCTCCGGCGCTGCTATAAAGTACTTTAAGTTTAGGTATATATTTTTTATCTTTATGGCTATATGCAAAACTAAAATGACAACCCTCGTAATACCATATTAGACATGTAAATATATAAATATTTATCGTTTATTTTCTTATAGAACGATTTTAATAAGCTCAAAGCAAAGCGTGAAGCTGAACAGCGCCTGCTACCAGCCAGACTTCCATTACAAAAATCCATTTCCACACCATCTATCCATAGCAGTTCGTGATCTAGCACCAGAGCCTACTTTAGCTGGAGCTCAACCTACGTTACCTATGTAAGTAAAACAAATATTTTAATCTCAAATCGTGTTTTTGAGTTTTTTTGTTTTGTCAATTTTTGCTTCGACTTTTTATATAATGATATTTTTATCACTTTTTTTGGCACTGATTTTTTTGTTTTGATTTAAAAAATGCATGTTTTATTACGAGAATTTTAAATCACAGAATGATTTTAAATTATTTTTACTTAAATTTCAATATGCATATTTAAACATTTTTAAATTTAACAATAATTGAATTTGTGAAATATCTGCTTCTGTTATTAACGAGCGTAACTTTAGAATTGTTACTAAAGTTGAAAATAGACAAAATTATTAAGGCATTTGATTTAACTTTTGAAGTTGAATATCTTTCAGTTTGATTAGAAACTATCCTAAGTTCATAAGGAAGTGATAAAAGATTGGAATCTTATTTTAAACTGCCTACAATTTACTGTATAAAAGTCGGGAAACTGTCGTCAAGGCTCTAGTGTCGACATATTTTAGCTACCATCACTTAAACGTTGCTTAAAATGCAAGCTATAAAGAAAGCAGATATGGAGAACTATGGACTTCAAGGCCGCATACGACAGTGTCAAGGGAACAGTGCTATACCAATCAATGCATGAGTTTGGTATACCAGAGAAACTTATCCGCTTAACGAGAATGACAATGTCTAACTTAGAAGCCACTGTTAGAATACAGGGAGAGAATTCTAGATCCTTTGAGATAAAGGATGGACTCAGACAAGGGGATGCTCTGGCTTGCCTTCTATTTAATATTGCCTTAGAAAAGGCAGTCCGAGATACACGAATTAGGGATGGCGGTACTATTTACAATAGATCGATACAAGTCTTAGCATATGCTGATGACATTGACATAATAGGGCGTAGCAAGCGAAATGTTGAGCAATATCCCCTAGAATTGGAACAGCGGCGAAACAGGTCGGTCTAGTCATCAACGAAGACAAAACCAAGTACATGTTGGTTACAAAGGATACGATAGCAAATGAGGAACGAGAAACAGTCTTTGGAAGTCATACCTTTGGACGTGTTGACAACTTCAGATACCTTGGGTCGCTATTGACTGCTACTAATAAAATAAGCGAAGAAATCAAAAGACGAATAAATCTTACAAATAGGGCATACTATGGACTCCAAAAGCATTTCCACTCAAGAAACATTCAAAGAAGAACTAAAATTATTAAATACAAAACGTTGCTGAGGCCGGTCCTCACATATGGAGCAGAAACATGGACTCTAACGCAGAAAAATGAAAGACTTTTGGGAATATTTGAGCGTAAAATACTCCGCAAAATATTGGAGCTATAAACGACCAAGGCCAGTGGCGCAGAAGATATAATTTTGAATTGTATCAGCTCTTTGATGAGCCAGATGTCATAACGTTCATTAAAACACAGCGACTTAGATGGGCTGGACACATAATACGAATGCCAGAAAATGCTCTCCCAAACAGACTCTATTGGATTTATGTCAAGACTCAACGCAGGCCAATTTATTGTAGGTATACCGATCTCAGTCAGATATGTGGTGGTGACTTGTGCCGTATGACATCGTGCATTATCATGCATTAAAATAAAGGCATTACCAATACATCCCGCGTATGTAACCATATGTTCCTCCAAAATATCTCTGATGTAACGATCCGCCGTTAAACCTCTTCCACGTCCCCCACCAAGCACGAAAACCAGCTCGGTTTTCCCATCCATGGAAATGCCTGCCTAAAACATACAAGAACCATCATTATGACACAATTTCTCGTATACAACATTGAGCAAATCGTTCCCCTGGCCTTCTATAGACTCGACGCCTCTTGTCGTTGCCATGTAGGCAGATCCTACTTTCGTCGGAGAATAATACATGACTCCATTGATAGTCGTCCCAATCCAGATGTTCGCGAGCAAATTCTAGTCGTCTTTGCTTCTGCGCGGCAGTTAGCTTGGAACCAGTAGTTGCCCTTTTAGGTGTCAGGTTGGCTGCTTTCAGTCTCCTTCTGACTGTCCAAACACACCACCAGGTAACCTGGTAACCACACCTCAGACCTCTCTAAGCTCTTCTTTAAGATTAGCACCAGTCAAATGTCGATTTTTCAGAGATACAAGATATTTAGATACAAGAAATCGATCATCTCTCTCTGTTGTTATTCGTTTACCATCTCCTCCTTGTCAGCGGACATAATCCCCAGCATCTTGGTACCGACGATACACTCGGACACAGCAGATTGGCTTAAATTTAGTCGATTTGCCACAGCTCTCTGGCTCAGGTCTTCTCTCAATAATGCTACTCCTTGAGCTGCTTTGACGGATGTGGTATCCATTTGTTATGAAGTTGCGAACTTAATTGACTGATGTATTGGTGGGTTGCTATGAAAATTGATGCTTACGATGTTTACCAAATGTGTTAAGTGAGTGCGTGTCGATTTCAATCGTCCTACGTCATTTCAATCGTCAATCGATTTCGACCCCCTCTCTACGTGTTGCATTATTTATTTGTAATACTTCCCCCGATTTACCAAAAATCAAAACTTTTTTCAAACTCAATAATGAGGTTAATAATTGTACATTAAATATTTTTAAATTCACACCTTTTTAAATGAAATGGGAGACGTACTTTCGCAAAATAATTTTGAGTCGATTTTTTTGCACTCAAGTGTATATATATATATATATATATATATATATATATATATATATATATATATATATATTGCTTCCCAGACAACTGAAGGCCTTCCCCTTCTTCTTCTTTGTTGTGGTATGTAATTTAAAGCTTTCTTTGGCCATCTATCTTCATTCATTCGCTTCACGTGATCATACCACACTAGTTGTCTCTTTGTCCTCCTTCTAATATCTTCATTCCTGATATGATCTTTTTGGATGCACCACATGCTCTCCTTATAAAATCCATTTCTACTACTTCTATTCTTGAGTTCTAACTGCATAGATCCGAGATATTTATATTCATTATTCTCTCTCCTGTTGCCGACAAGAATGTAGCGTCGACTAATTTTTAAATAATTTTAAACTGTTTGTCCTGGTTTAGTGTAGTGTTATATACAATTTATGTTTAATTTCATGTTTATTACATTCTGCTCTTGTTGGATAGCCCAAATTTGATGAAATGTCCCTGATGATGCTTTAGAAAGCGAAAGTACTTGGACAAGATTTGATTAATAAAATTGTGCTCGATATCTGCCTTTAATTTTTCAAAGTTCATTTATTCGAGCCTTCAACCTTATATCAAAATATATAAATGACAGCAATAACTCAATTTGGAGAAAATATGGAAATTGCCGGTTTTGACTCTATACGCCTCAAGGGAAGCCGAGTCTGCCATTTGCATTAAGGAAAGAAGTCAGCGTTGCCAGGTCGTCGCAGTCAGAAAATCGTGCATATATTTATTTTTTTGTAAAAGAAACAAACGAAGACAGATTACCAAACCAACAAATTAATAAATAAACAAGTAAACCTTCTATCCTCAATGCAAATAGGCGGCAGAGGTTTAAAAAATTGACAAGCACGACTTCTATCAGTTTGATTTCTTTACAGAAGGCATATTAAATTCATGTAGTTGGCTGTATACCATGAATCACAAAAGTTTTATTTAAAAATCCTTTATAAAAGGTATATAATTAAAAAGATTTCTTTGTTAAAAGACTCTTTTGGAATAAAAATCGACCTGTTTTAACATTTTCACAAAATATAATGAGTATTGCCAAATATCAAGGTGTCCTCTTTTGATTGGCAAACCTGCATAAGTGTTCGTTTTGAGTAATCCAGTTAAGGAAACCAACAAGGTATTATTGATCAAAGTTCGAAACACAAGTAGATATTTCACATCGCTAAAGAATTTCACTTTAGCTAGAACAGTGTAGTGCATGTGCTTAGCTTGGTGTCTAGGGGCCGACCCAGCGGGACTGAGAGCGAGACGGAAGAAGAAGTTAGCCGATCAGGACACGTCCACTATGATCCTCATTCGAATGCACTTTTGCACCAGTAAGTAATCGCATGAATAGGCTATCACTGTATTATATCGCACTATGTGTTAACTTTTAATTGTTTTTTAGAATAATTAGGATTAGTTACCGTAACATAGTTTTTCTATATACAAATATTCGATATTTTATTCAGTTTTTTTATTTATTTGAAGTATTGGTTATATCTTTTCTGTGAGAACTTTATCAGTGGCTCTTTTTATTTAATTATGTTTCTGGCAAAATAGCAATAAATGTTTCTTTATAAAATACTGTTATACTATACTATGTTCGTTCCCAAGATAAGCTCAGACGCCCAATCGGTTGGTGTGTCGTGTCATCAAAGCTTTTCATTGGTTAGAAATTAATTTCTAACACGCATCCTGCGACGACACGATACAGCCCCAGATTACTTGCCCGAAACCTGCGTCCGAGCTTATCTTGGGAACGGACGTGGTATAGTGAGAATTTAAGAATTAAATAAAAATTAAAGAGAAATATTCTAATGTGTCTATCTCCTTGGATAGTATAAATGGTAGTTGATAAAGCAGAAGCAAATCTAATTGTACATTATTTCATCTACCGTTCATTGCACGTGATCTAATTTTGACGTTGACATTTCCAAACAGAGTTGCCATATTATCGGACTAGTAGGGAATGCAGAGAATTATAAAATGATGAAAGTGTAACGTTATTATTATAAATTCAAGACCTTTCTGTCTTCTTTTTTAAATAGTAATACTTTTATTGCTTCGTTCCTCCTCCTTCTTCTCAGTCCTAATCCCTTTTGGGATGTGGTGATACCATCAGGCCTTTACAGTTTTTTCACGATTTCCCTCCTTCCTTCTCAATCCTGTGCTAGTTGTTGGGCTTCATGTCATCATCATCATCTTTGGCTCGACAATCCTCTGTGAATCTTGGCCTGCTCTAAGATTCGTCGCCATTCTGTTCGGTTTTTGGCAACATGTTGCCATCTTCTGATTTTTAATATTCGTAAGTCGGTTTCTACTCCATCTAACCACCTAATTCGTGGTCGGCCTTTGCTTCTTTTTCCTACAGGTGTTCTGTGGTTAGCTTTTTAGCAATGGTATTTTCTGGCATTCGTATTATGTGTCCAGTCCATCTAAGTCGCTGTGACATCTGGCTCATCAAAGAGCTGATACAATTCAAAATTATATCTTCTGCGCCACTGCCCTTGGTCGTTTACAGCTCCAAATATTTTGCGGAGTATTTTACGCTCAAATATTCCCAAAAGTCTTTCATCTTTCTGCGTTAGAGTCCATGTTTCTGCTCCATATGTAAGGACCGGCCTCAGCAATGTTTTGTATATAATAATTTTAGTTTTTCTTTGAATGTTTCTTAAGTGGAAATGCTTTTGGAGTCCATAGTATGCCCTATTTGTAAGATTTATTCTTCTTTTGATTTCTTCGCTTGTTTTATTGGTAGCAGTCAATAGCGACCCAAGGTATGTGAAGTTGTCAACACGTCCAAAGGTATGACTTCCAAAGACTGTTTCTCGTTCCTCATTTGCTATCGGATCCTTTGTAACCAACATGTACTTGGTTTTGTCTTCGTTGATGACTAGACCGACCTGTTTCGCCGCTGTTTCCAATTCTAGGATATATTGCTCAACATCTCGCTTGCTACGCCCTACTATGTCAATGTCATCAGCATATGCTAAGACTTGTATCGATCTATTGTAAATAGTACCGCCATCCCTAATTTGTGTATCTTGGACTGCCTTTTCTAAGGCAATAATTAAATAGGAGGCAAGCCAGAGCATCTCCTTGTCGGAGTCCATCCTTTATCTCAAAGGATCTAGAACTCTCTCCCTGTATTCTAACAGTGGCTTCTAAGTTAGACATTGTTATTCTCGTTAATCGGATAAGTTTTTCTGGTATACCAAATTCATGCATTTATTGGTATAGCACTGTTCTCTTGACACTGTCGTATGCGGCCTTGAAGTCGACGAATAGGTGATGGGTTTCAATATTGAATTCTGTTTTCTCGAGAATCTGTCTTATTGAATGAATCTGGTCAATTGTTGATTTTTCTGGAGTGAATCAAACTTGATATTTACCAATTATGCCTACTGTGTAAACTTGCAACCTTTCGTAGAGAATATTTGCTAGTATTTTGTAAGCAGTTGTTAACAGGGTTATACCTCTATAGTTGTCACACTGGAGCTGGTCACCTTTTTTATGTAACGGGCATATCACGCCTTGAGACCATTCACAAGGTATGGTCTCATTATGCCAAACAAGAAGTAAAAGCTTATGCAGTGTCTGTAGTAGGGCATCGCCACCATTCTTGTAGAGCTCACTGCAAATTTGATCAACTCCTGGTGATTTATTATTTTTAAGCTTTTTAATGGCTTGGGCAACGTTTTCGATGGTATGTGGTCTTTCGTTTGGGTTGAAAGGATTCCAATCATTTTGATTTGCTAGGGTGTTATCTGCTTCTTCGATATGATGGCCATTAAATTTTGCATCGAAAAATTCAACCCATCTGTTTAGGATTGAGGCTGTATCATTTAGGATGTTTCCTTCTACATCCTTACAGCTCCTTATTCTTGCCTTAAACTCTTTGCGCATTTTGTTTAGATTTCTGTTGGGCTTCATGTATCCCTTGGTTAATCAATATTTTTATTTGATCTACCCAACGGCTTGGAGATCTTTCCCTAGATCTCTTTCCTTCAACTCTACACTCGACTATCAGTTTTTCTATCGTACTTGTTCTTCTAATAATGTGTCCAAAATACTGCAAATATCTCTGTTGTATTTTTTCTCTCTTCTCTTTTAAATTTTCTGCGGTGATCTGGTCCGTCTGTTTCGTGACAAATATTTTATTCAGACGTTTGTACAAAACTTCATTTGTTGTTTTTCCCTCAATCTTTAGAATTTCTGCAGTTATCCCAACTTTTCCTGAAGATTTGTTATTCTTTATTTCCCTGGGTGCCCTCTTATTTCATCTTATTGATTTCTGGTTGTAAGTTAGATTTAATGTTCTTTATTTCTACTTTTAATTGACGTAGAATTTCTTTTGTTGGTTTTTTTTTGTTCTATGAGGTTTCTATAATAATCTTGGGTTATTTGTAAAGTTTCGTTTATATCAATGGTTTCTATTTCTTCTTTGTTTTTTTATACTATTAATCTGTGTTTATATCCCTTGATATTTTTTCAGATGGTTGTGTTTCCTTCTTTGTGTTCTATTGAGTTCCTTTCCCCTTGTTCTGGTAGTTTTATTCTTTTATTCGTTAAATTCTTTGTTTTCGAAGATACTTTCCCTGATTTTCCTTTTTTTTCCCCATTTATACTACTTCTTTTCCCACCTTTACTAGTATATCTGTTAATAACGTATTTATTTTATTGATATGTTAGTTTCAAGTCGTTCATGGTTGGTATATTTTCTCTTATTTTCAGTTTATATAACAGTTGCTCTTGTTGAAGTGTTTCCATTTCTAGTTTCGGGTCACTTTCCATTTTCTTGTTGGCTTTAAATCGCTATTAATGACCAGTTTGGCTCGAACAAGTCTGTGGTCGCTACAGTTGAGAATCAATTTAGTACTTTTACGTCTTTAATGATAGGTACCGGTAAAACCAATTGGTACTATAAAGTATAAAAATGCAAATGCCTGTCATATAATAAAACGTTCCAAGATTGTATCCTATTAAATTTATGAATAGATAATGTTACTACCATATTCGACGAAATTTTAATTAGGTTTAGGTTTAATTATTTGGATAGGAACCACTGATTTAGTTTTCCAGATAATGTGCATGACTTCTTTGCCTTCTCTCTGGTATTTTTTATCGTTTTAGATTCTATTTATTTTTCTTCTATTGTTAGAAAAGTCTTTTAAAGTTACATTTAAAATGTACTTCATATTGGATGGAGTAATACGTTTTGTTTAAGACGGAATACGTGTGCATTTGGACAAAAATAACGAATTTTTGGACGAATTTAACGAACGATTTGGACAAAAAAAATATTTTGAAAATGGCAAAAATTCAACTGTAAAAGATTGTACAAAGCCAGCTAGGCGAAAAAGAACTCTATATACACGATGTGGCGCAACAAGTTTTGATTAAAAGTAATGATGGACGCAGTTATGTTAAAAATTTGAAATTACGAAGCTATAGGTTTTGGATGGCGATTAGTTGAAATACAATGTTGTCCTGAATGTGGCAGTTCACTTTATACCGGAAGTAGACGTTAACTTAGATATTTTAAATAGAACCTAATATTTTTTATTTTATTTTCGAATTCTACGAGGGTGGATTGATATAAAACTAGCCTTTGATAGAAAAAACAAATTTTTTTGGAATTAAATCGATTTATTTCTCAACATAGTCACCTTTTAGCTCGATACACTTAGTAAGACGATGTTCCATTTTTTTTATCGCATCCGAATAGTACTTTTACTCGAGCTCTTCAAAATAGGCCGAAGTTTCAAAGACGACTTCATCATTTGTTGCGAAATGGCGTCCTCCGTGCCATTTTTTTAGGTTTGGAAAGAGGAAAAAATCGCTAGCGGCAAGATCTGGGGAGTACGGTGGGTGTTCAACCAATTCATAGCCCAATTCGTGTAATTTTGCCGTGGCGACGGCCGATCGGTGAGCCGGTGCATTGTCTTGGTGAAAGAGCACTTTTTGGGTTCCAAACCGGGGCGATTTCGACGCAATTCGGCATCGAATCGATCCAATAATGCTGCGTAGTACTCACCATTGATTGTGTTTCCTTTCTCCAAGTAGTCGATGTATTGCCATCACTTTGCCAGCCGAATGTGCACTATTTGCCTTCTTCGGCGGCCCTTCGCCGCGTTTGTGCCCCTGTTTCTACTGTTCTTTGGTTTCCGGTGTATAATAATGCACCCAGGTTTCCTCAATGGTGATAAATCGGCGAAAAAAATCCTTTGGATCGCGCCGTATCATCGACAAAAGCATCTCCGAAGTGGTCACATGTTTTTGCATTTGATCGA